ATTTCACAGATATCGGTTCGGTTGCGAAGGCCTTGGTTACGCCCGAGAGTCGGGGGAGGTGGCTGGTCGGTTGATCAGGCCGGCAGCGCTTTGAAGTATACAAGAAGGCACACGCACGGTGGTACGTGTGTTGCGAAGACCTCCTTGAGCGAACTGTGTGATGGGTATTTATCCCCAAATCTGTACATCACTTTCCCGCGCTTGCATATTACCATATATGGCCCAATGGTCACCAAGTGGGGGGTCTGTGTCGCAGGGGTTGGGCCAAAACTGTGCAGGTTTCATGCGACCAGGTAAGCCCCGCAGTTCTCACGCCAAGGTGACGGGTGGGAGAGTCTGAGGCTATTTTCCCCTTTTCACACCTTCCCTTTTTCTAAAGGCAATGGTATGCAGGAAGGGTGCGGCCGATTTCTCTCAAGGAGTACTGCAGAACAAGAGTGGCCTGGCCAAACTTTTTTACTGGGGAGGCAGTTTCTTTTCTCTAATACAGTGAAGACAGCCTGGTGGGTTGCACAGACGGCACCTATTCTATGCCGCTGAAGTGCTCATGCATCACAATGCCCTGCCTTACTTGGTCTGTGCGTTCAAAGGCACAATTTAGAGTGGGCTGGGCTATGGGATTACAGTGAAAGGCCGAGGGTCACCAGCTAAGAGTATGCATCTTAGTTACCAGGCTGTGTGGGGAATCACTCACCCCAGTTCCCACCTGCCAGAGGCTCTTTAATAGCTGATTTATAAAGGAAAGCTTTGAGGTACCCACTCTGCAGCGATGACAGGGCTGTGCTTCCAGCCATTTTCCCCATGATTGTGTGCGAATTGCACCGTGGAACCTTCCGGAAGGACAGCAAATTCCCTGCAACTCCTGCGAAGGCTGCGATAGCTCCTTCCCCAGCCTTATTCAGTGCTTGGCCTCCCTTTTGAGGCTGCTGATAACGATAATACAGAGTGGTGGTGGAGTGCGGACAGTGGTCCCCGGGAACTGGGATCAACAAACCGCATGTGTCTAGGCCTCAAGATAACACTCACATAGCAAAGAGCAAATGAGCTGCTACAGCGTCTTGTCTGGTGTTCTCTCTTCCTCTATAGTCACCAAGAGGTAAAAGAGCAGCTCTTTCCAAACCCCCCTTCTCTGTAAATTAACAATGGCACCAGGCCTGCGGATACTCATCCACCAACTTAACTTTATGCACATGAGCCACATTATTCAAATGCAGATAGTTAAATAGGTTAAGATTAGGGATGCCAGTCAAAACTAGGGATGCTTCAGCCCATCTGGAGTGGGGAGGTTGTAGTGTAGTCGATTAACCTATAAGCTTTTGCTTATCGGTTAATGTCATAG